ACTCAGGAGGCTGAGGCAGAGAATTGCTTGAAACCTGGAGGCCGAGGTTGCAGTGAGCCAAGATTGCGCCATTGCACTCCAGCCTGGGCAACAGAGTGAGACTCTTTCTCAAAAAAAAAACAAAAACAAACAAACAAAAAAAACCTCTGAACCGTGACCCCTGCAGCAACCTGACCCAAAGCGTCAAGACTTGACCAATAACCGCTAGCTTCCTTAAGCTTTGCCCTTTCCCCCTCCTTCTAACTCAGGACCGACCCGAGAAAGCCAAATGTTTCCCAAGCCAATCGCATGGGATACCTGCCTCCAGGTCCCCCACACCAGCAGCCGCCAATCCGGGCACACCTTGAAGCCTTCCATTTTCCACGATGAAGGGTCCCCACTCCCCGGCCTGCCTCCAAGTCTCCTCCCAAATGCAAGCGATGGTGGCTGACTCCCTCGCCACAGCAAGCTCTGAATAAACTGCTCTCTATGGCGGCCTCGGTGGGTTTCCACCTGGGTGTCTCTGGCGCACACCGGGAGCTTGTCTACGGTGATGGAAGGCGGCAGCGCCCCTGGTGGGGCTGGGAGGTGTGAACTGGGGTTGGAAGGGGGCATGTTCCAGCTCAGCGGGAGGAGTCGGGTGCTGGTAGAAAGCCCAGGGTGACTCCTCAGGCCGGGCGCTGGGAGTAGCTGGAGAAAGGGGGAAGGAGGCAAAGAGGTCCTCCCTGCAGCGGTCCCCTGGCGCCGGGCGCGGGAACAAGGGGTGTGCGTGGCTCGTCGATCCTTGTCCTCCCGGCCGCTGAGGTGGCAATGGCGGAGGCGGAGGCGGAGGCGGTGGCGGTGGCGGTGGCGGTGGCGGTGGAGGCAGCCGGGCTGTGCACGCCTGAAGACCGCCCGGGCGCGGGCCGCCCCTGCACCCCGGGAGCCGAACCGCGGGAGGGCGCTGTGCAGAGCGGGTGGTGGCCTGCTCGACGGAGGCGGCCGCCGTCACCCTACCGGTCCTGTGCTACGTGCCCGAGGACTACCCGGGAGCCAGGCCTGCCAGCTGGTGCAGGACGCCAAGGTCAAGACTGGAGCAGGGAGGAAGAGTGCTGCGGCCTGGAGAAGCGCATCAGCCAGGACCAGAGGACGTCTGCGAGCTGCCAGGCGGCCAAGGGGAGGAGGTCCAGCTGGTGAACCTCGTGGTGGTGATGTGGAGCAGTTCCCCTAGGGTACCATGCTGCCTGCTCCCACAGCACCTTCAGGGAGGGTCAGAGATAAGGAGGAAGATGCTGATCCCAGATCCCAGCCTGCTGTCGTCGTCCTAGGGGAAGGAGGGCTCTGGTTATAACTTACAAGCAGGCCTCATCGTATGTCTGCTGATTTTTTTTTTTCTTTAAACTAAGAACAAAGGAAGTTAAAACAAAACAGAAACAGATTCTCAGGGGACCAGCAGGGACACAACAGCCTGAGAAGGTGAAGGCAAAATGCGGCCGGTTCAAGCATACACCCAAAAAATATATAATAATCCTACAAGACAAATGTACAAAGTTATCCATAAGGATTGGCAAGTGTGGTTGGCTCATGGCTATTATCCTCACTCTGTCTTCTTAATGACAAATTTGGCAATGCAGACTTTTAGGACTGAGGACAACCAATGAACTTTAGATTGCATTGCAGTTTATACAGAATATATTATTCAGTTTTTCATTATGAGAATAACCGGCTTGGTGGTGGCTGTTCTTGAAAGCTTTTCTTTTGCAGTTCCTCTTTCCTTGGCTTATTCTGTAAAGAAAATGAAAGATAATCACTCAGTGAGACACTGGGTGCTTGTAAAACTATGGGAAATCCAACAGTCTTTTGTTCTGATAAAACAAGCACATTAGTATTCCAAGAGTTCAGGCTTCCATTGGTGAGGCTCATTGTATAAGTTCCAGACCCATTGGGAATACCTTTTTGACAGACACTGCTGTTAATTGTTTGTATAATTAAAACAATTTTTTAGTTGTTGAGGTCCACTCCAACAGATTGGCAATAAAATAGAATGTGCCTTTTTGGAATTTCTCCGTCATTTAAGAGTAGATTTTGAGAAAGAAAAGGAAAGGAAAGAAAGAGAGGAGGGGAGGGGAGGGGAGGGGAGGGGAGGGGAGGGAAGGGGAGGAGAGGGGAGGGGAGAGGAGAGGAGAGGGGAGGGGAGAGGAGAGGAGAGGAGAGGCAGAAAGAAGGAAAAGAAAGAGCATACCACAGGGGAGGGGAGGGGAGGGAAGGGGAGAGAAGAGGGGAGTGATAGGGAGAGGTGAGGGGAGGGGAGGGGAGGGGAGGGAGAAAGATGGAAAAGAAAAAGCATACCACAGGCTCATGCCTGTAACCCCAGCACTTTGGGAGGCCGAGGTGGGCTGATCACTTCGGGTCAGGAGTTCAAGAGCAGCCTGGCCAATACAGTGAAATTCCATCTCTACTAAAAATACAAAAATTAGCCAGGCATGCTGGCAGTCAGCTGTAATTCCAGTTACTCGGGAAACTGAGGCATGAGAATCACTTGAACCCCAGAGGCAGAGTTTGCATTGAACCAAGATCATGCCATTGCACTCCAGCCTGGATGACAGAGTGAAACTCCATCTCAGAAAAAAAAGAAAGCATACCACAGAAGAATTTATACAAAGTTGAACTCTGCATAAACAAAGAGTTCATCTTAAACTCAGAGGAAAAATATATGACTACTGTCTTAAAACTGCCAGATGAGGGTTTTTGGTTGTTCAAAGAGGGAGTCTCAGAACTATTACTTAACAGAGGTGTGAAATTTTGAATGAAGAGGGAATACCTAGAGTCCTGACTAGAGCAAATAAAAAAGACATTTTCCAAAGTGCTATGAAACCGATAGCTGTGCAGGGCCAAGAATACTGTGCCTGATGTTCAGAAATTCTGCAGATACAAACCTGGCTGAGCAATGAGGAAGATATTACTACAGATCTTGCATGAACTGCTTTTGTAGGCATTGAAGATGCCATGAGACCCAAGGCATAAGTTTCCTGTGACTGATTCAGTAAAGCTCTACAACCTGAGTAGCTTGAAACAACAGAATTGTATTTTTACACAGTCCTAGAGCCCAGAGGTCCCAGAGGTCCCATGTTCCCTCTGAAGGCTCTAGGAAAAAAATCCTTCCTTGCTTTTCTCATAGATTCTGGTGGTTGCTGGCAAACTTTGGTATTCCATGACTTGGAGCTTCTATCTTCATATGGCCGTCTGTCTTTTCTATGTCCAAATTTCCCTGTTTTTAAAAAAACAGCAATTTGCTGGATTAGCGCCCTCCCTAGTCTAATAGGACCTCATCTTGATTACATTTGCAAAGACCTTATTCCAAATAAGGTCATGTTCACAGGAACCAGAGTTCGGACTTGAACACATGTTTTTGAGAGACATATTTCAACCCTCAACACCTGAGGTGCCGAATGCAGTATCTAGATCCACTGCATGGGTGATTCTAGTGACAATCTCCACATGGTAAGGGCTGTGGCCCTGAACTACAGCATTGCAAAGGTCCCTGAAGGTTACCCACATCTAGGGGGTACAGATTTCAAGAAACTAACGCATAAAAATGAAAATGGAGAAATTGAAAAAAGGCTCAAAAACAAGGATTGGTCAGAATTTCGTGTACTTGCAAGATTCAGCTGTGATGGTTACTTTTGTGTGTTAATTTGACTGGGCTAAGGGATGCCCAGCTCACTGGTAGAAATGTTGTTTCTGGGTATATGTCTGGGGCTGTTTCTGGAGGAGCTGTTAGCACTTGAATCAGTAGACTAAAGAAGATTGCCCTCACCCAATCTTTTCAGGGCCCAAATAGAACTAAAGGTCAGAGGAAGGCTGAATTCATTCTCCCTGTTT